AGCAAAATTTGCCCCTCAAAATGCGGGAAATTGCGTTTCAGAGAGTCTAGAGCATGCCCGGACCCTCTAGTAAAGTCACGCCTTCGCTGGGCAAGGTTGGTGAGCAGATCTCACTCCCTCATGCAAAATTTAGTGCCGCCGCCGCCGCCTCTGTAAGGTAGCAACATGGAGGTGGTAGCAACAACAGTGTGTTTGGGTCACCTAGAGGCGTGGACACAGAAAACAGAGGTCGTTTGTTTTTGCGTCCCGCTTTATGAAACTTTACTGCACTTTATAATTCTGGGGAGGGAAGAAATGGCTTTCAGTAGGCGATGCTTGAATCAACTACCAGAAGTATCAATACACTATGTTGACAATGATGAACAAGAGTATATATATGTATATAACACTTGTCAAATGTTGGTGTCAATTATGTTTAATGAGAATATCCGATAAATAACAGACAACTTCGAAAAATCTAATTAACGGTTGTCAAGAAGAACGCTATCATTTAAGCGAGGTGGTCGACGCGCAGCGCGTGGTCGATTTCATGTAAATAAACAATGTATTTACACGCGTTGTATACGTCGCTATGAGTCCCATATCGAACAGGACGCGGCGCGACGACTACCGTCCTTTAAATATTTGCATGACAAGTATACATATGAAGGATGCATCGCTCCGTGACAATGTCAGGAAACGAAACACGGTTCGGTTCTTTTGCTACGCCCTCTAACGACAAAACTATAATATTATATTTGGTGTATTATGTTCTAATATATTCATACCGGCGCACGATAGGAACCGTGGGTGTTGTGACGCAATATATTTAACTCGGCGGTCGTATGGAAGTCGATTGAATCTCGATTGTTGATTGATTGTTGGATCTCGATTGTTGTATGAGATGACGTTCTGTGTTGTGAGTTGGGTGACTGTGAACACCTTTAGAAGAAAAAGCTAACATAGGCAAGTTTTACCGTTAAATAATGTAGTTACGCAGGCTTACTCTTGGATGTACACCAATCTGATTAAAATCTGATGTAGTGTACGGGATTTAATTTTTATTTTATTATTTTACTTTGATTTTAATTTTGTGATTTTTTTTAATTCCGCCCTACATACATCAGATGTATGTAGGGTGGAATTAAAAAAAAATCAAAAAAATCAAAGTAAAATAAAAAGGCATTATTAACGAAAGTAATAAAAAATTAAAATTAAAATAAGTTTATAGCCATTTTTTTTTTTTTTTTTTGCATTTTTCCCACTGAGGGTAATGGACCAGAAAGCCCTTCCTGGCAGGGTTAAAACGCCAATTGCCGACATTCGAGTTATCGATTTTTGCCAGCGCTAGAGGGCGGATTAAAGTACCTGGATGACAGTAGTGTTCGGCGTCTGGAGCGGGGTTGAATTAAAGCGGGGGGGGGGTCGTCACCTGCGTACGCGCGGGAATCGAGTCCCAAGCGATGATAACAACACACGTTTAAAACGCAAAGGCTCATGGGTAGACGTTTTAATAATACAACACCAATTTACATAAGGACAGTAATAATGCTTTACTGTTGAGGCACACCTTCACTAGTTCTTTTCGTTTCAAGTAAAAAAAACAAACATCTGAGCTTGTTTTTTGGAACTGACACACACACACACACACAGACACACAAACAAATACAAATTTTCTGTTTATATTCTATTAAATTCTTGTATGCACTCGATTAGTATCGTGCGGGAAGCGTATTATTACCAGATTCGGACCTTCAGGCATATAAAGAAGGGTTAACTGGTATTCCAATGCTCCAGGTGTTCTTCCAGTACAATCAAGAAAAATATCCCCAAAGTTCAGACCGTGACGTGACTTTCGATGCCTTTGCTCCAGCGAAAAAAAGATCTCTCAGACGAAAGTGAATTGCATGGATTCAGCAAGGTGATGACTGAAAACCCAACAAGTATTCAAGAATTTGTTTATTTTGTAGGAGGTAATGGACCGACTCAAATCTTCAATTTAACTACCAGAAGACCAGGTATATTATTGATTGTTCTGATTTTTTAACCAGAAACTGTCCACTCCGACAACCCATATAAATGCCTGATTGATATGAGTCCCGGCGAAACAATTATAGTTGAGTCAAGCGACACAATCATGACTAATCGTAGTTTTAATATTAAGGGACTCGGTCTATAGAAAGAAATGCAAGACCTGTAATTCGCCATTTACTAGGAGGTGTAACTCAGAAAATACTAGAGGCTAAAACAAAGTACTTGGAGCAGAATTCATGTTGAGAGAGCGGGTAAAAAAAAACTTTCAGATGTTTGTCCATATTCTAACTTTGTCTATGAAGTAACTTACCAAATGGTTATCGATTCTGGTACATGTATCTGCAAGTAGATAAACACGCATTGTTTGCAACAAGAAGCTTATCACCCGTTAGTTATATGAGAATCGGCAATAAGAGAGTATACATATTTAAGATGTCATCATATAAATTGTCCCGAAGTTAAACATTATGCAAATATCAACGAAACGGCAGTTTTAGTTACTTGTGTTAGCTTTTAAAACACCAATTTGATCATTTCCGTTCTCGCTACCTTAAAGGCAAAATACATTTTCTTACTTCGGTAACTTTGAGAGCGAGAAAAGTTGCTAGTTCATTAACACGTGGAGACCGATTTAATAGTACAACATATTTCTACGAAACATAAACAATCATCGAATTGTTTACTTAGTATCGTGGACCTTGTACAGTACGAACCATTGCTGCCGGTAACACCTGAGCGGAGCGAAACGACGACTCGTAATAAAAACTTATGGGTTAAAATATACAAGTAACACTGTAACTAAGTACATCGCTGAGTTGTGACCTCAGGTGTGTGTATATAGTAGAGTTTGACATTTGAATTCCGGGGGGCTGGAAGTTTGTTTTAGCAAATATTGTAATCACATATGTTCTATGATAATTGTTGTATTCGTATTTTTCCTAGATCTTTCACTTTATGCGGTCATCATGAACATTGTTATCTATATTTTTTCTTTAAACCGTCATTTTTTTTTTTAAATTTTCAAAATGCTTCGACTCTCTGCCCAGTTTCCGAATCTGCCCAGTATCTTCTTCGCTGTATTCTTGCTGTTTCGGGATCATTCTACTAATTTCAGTGCCATTCCTTCAAAAAAGACTTCAAAAATTACAGTCCCATGCACTCAGGCTATCATTATAACATTTTCTTGCATTTTAAGTCCTGACACAGACCATGTTTTCCAAAATATTATAAGCAGACAACCATGTGAATATCTTGAAAAAAAAGTAGTTAAAAGTTAAATCAGAGAAAATAACCTTAGATTCTGCAATGAATTTCAAATCACAAAAATGAAGACTGATATTTTCATAACAACATAGGGAAACTGCGATTTTTTTTTAATTAATTTTAATACATGCCTTCGAACACCAGACAAGTGATTGTTAATGAAAATAGCACGTAATTTGATTTTAACAATTTTTTTGCGTTGCGTACTTTCTCACCTTTACCATTCCCGGTGGAAGTAAAGTACGAGTGCTCCACAGGATGCCCTTTCACCCCTGGAGACGCGAGGCACAAACAACCAAACTGACAACTCATACAAAATGGCGGAATGGGGAAAGAAACGCAACGGTGAGAATTTGTTTATTCAGTTTTACAATAATTTGCTCTTGTTATATGAATTTGTCTAAACGTAGTGGCGAAGCTGTTGAATAATTCGTGCACTCTATGACGAGCAGAAACAGCTATGACTGTGATTGGCTGGCTAGATAAGTGTGGCATGTGTGCAGTGCGTGAATACAAACCTTCAGTGTGTTGTTTATTTGCAAGCTGTTGTCACCTGTCATAAGTCAAATCCCCTATAAAATCCTAATGTATGCCAACAACTAGTGCCTTTGCCACGCTACAGGCCGAACTCGGAGCACTGATTGTAACAGCAGAGTGCGTCCTGTGTAATATTGATATTTGTTTGAAAAAAATGTCTGACAATGTTTCTCCTTCACAAGGGCGGGGTGCGGTTTCGACTGAGGACATGCTAGAAGACGAGAATAATAGGCTAGCGGATAATTTGGCGGCGAAAGTGTCACAACTGAAATCGGTAAGTGTATCGAATTCTTGCGTTTTTGCCAGGCCAGTCGAGACTAGTGATTTTGTAAATGTCTACGACGCTGCATACGTCCAATGTCTACAATCTAGCCTTTCTATGGCTTCTTGAGTTTGCTGTGTACAAGTGTATTACGGGCTAGTCAATATAAATATTCACCCCTTCTGCCTTCAGATATGTGGCAACAAGATAACTCACTCATGTTGCTAGATATATTATGCCCCCTAATACTAAAGGCATTGTCACCTTATCCCCACAATACCCTATGCTTACACTATTGTCCCCAGGGTTTTTCTGACCATCACTATCCAAAATTACCCCCACATACCCTGAGGTTAGGGTATCAGTGTTTCCATTGACTTGTGCAATATTCTACTAGTATATAAGTTCACTGGAATTTAAGATGACTTCTATGAGAGAAGGTGTTAGCTGTACAGTCTCATTTTTTGTTTGTTCTTTCCTGTAGATTGCTCTTGATATTCATGATGAAACTGAAGAACAAAATAGACACCTGAATGGCATGGTAAGACTCTGATTTCACTAAGATACAAGCACTCACACAAAGCAGTTTATCTACGGAAGTAAAAGATAGGAGCTCTGAATCAAATATAGGCTTAGGAACTGTTGTGTAGTCCCATCTCTGTTGGAATATCTGTATTTCTGAAAATGTACACTGAAAGCTTCAACTGTTTGTATTGTGGGTGTTGCTCTCGGCTCATGATCAGTAGTTGGGATCCTACCTGGTGTTGACCACTGAAAAAAAGGTGAAGATAAACATACCATGAATATGAGCATCTCAGATTTGAATTATAGGTGAAAGCCATAGCTGAGATTCAATTTAGGTAACTGATTGGTAAGATCTGCTGGTGATTGTGTTTGACCTAGTTGCTTACATTGATATTATGGTGGTCATACATCTAT